TCAACTAGATGACAATGGGTTTAGACCCTTATCAGATATATATGATTTGCAAATATTTTCTCCCATTCTGTAGATTGTCTTTCACTTTCTTGATGGTAACCTTTGCTGCACGAAAGTTTTAATTTTTATATAGTCCAATTTATCTTTTTTCTTTTTTTTTTTTTTGTCTCTTGTGCTTTTGGTGTCATCCATCTCTTGGTATTTGACAATGTGGAAAATTGATCCTTCCACCTACAACGCTCTCTCCCCTCCTCTCTGCTCATCGAACTCTTATCCTCTTCTGATCTCTAGCTCTGACCCCTTCTTCTCCATGGAGCCTTTGGACTCCTAAAGCCCACCCGGATCTTCTCTTGCCCTGACCTCTAGAAGGATGTTCTGCCCATGGCATTTAGTATGCCAGAGACTCCTGGTTGCCTCTCAACATTCCATTCTCATTGTCCCCTTCTCTCCTGACAACAGAATCCTGACTTTTAGTGGGTACATTGCTCCTTCTGCCCCAGCTAAAAGACTACATTTGCCAGCCTTCCTAGCATTGAAGCTGGCCATATGACTAAGTTCTGGACAATTAGATTTCAGTGAAATCGGCTTTGTGACTTGATATAAGTAATTAGCTATAAGTTGATGTGTTTTATGTGACTTTTAAGAAGTTTCCTCAAAGAGAGGGTGTGCGCTCTTCTTCACCACTTCTTTCTTCCTGGAATATGAATGTGAAAGTGGGATCTCTAGCAGCCATCTTGGACCATGACGTGGAAGCCGCATGCTGGGGATGGTGAGCAGGAAAAACTGGAGATTGGGTTTCTGACCTCTTTGTGGAGGCCTTGACTGCCTACATTCAGACTTCTTTCACTAGAGTAAGAAATGAACTCTACTGCTTAAGCCACTGTCATTTTGGGTTCTGGTATATGTAAAATCCAACCTCGTTATAATTGGTACACTTGATCCTTAAGTCTTTAGTGCTGTTTTGCAGATTTTCAGGGTGTGTCTCATCTGCTTAATAAGACTGGAAGCAATCTGAGGACAGGATCATGTTCTATCTTTCTGCATCTACCACAGTGCCCAACATGGTGCCATAGCCAAAACAGAATTTAAATTCTTCTAGATAAATAGATGGATGCAGGGGCTCAGCGTAAGTCTAAAGAACACATAGAAGAGAGAATTACCAGCTTTGGAAACCCTGGTGGTGTAGTGGTTAAGAGTTCAACTGCTAACCAAAAGGTTGGCAGTTCAAACCCACCAGGTGCTCCTTGGAAACCCTATGGGGCAGTTCTACTCTGTCCCATAGGGTCGCTATGAGTTGGAATTGACTTGATGGCATTGGGTTTGGTTTTGGTTTTGGTTTCCGTCTATGAGCAGTGATAATTTCCTTCCTCCACCACCAGTCATGAACTGCACCTTCTACTATAGGGTACCTTAAATAAGTTTTCTGTTGACATATATTTGGAGAGACACCAATTCTCCCATGCGAATTAATTCACCCATAAGAATCAGTGTTGCTGACGTCCCATGAAAATGAATATTACTAGGATTCATTCAGCAGTACCTGAAGGCTTCATTATGAAGAAGTTAGGAAGAATTTTTATTTTCCATCCTTAATTTTGCCAAAGTTTTTTCCAGATAGAAAATTTCCAAAATGTATACTGTGGTAGGCAAACTAATGATCCCCCCCCCCGCCCCCGACCAAAAAAATTTATGCCCTAATCCCTGGAACCTGTGAAAATGTTAGGTTACGTGGTGTGATCTTTAAGGTTGTGATGCAGAAATGAGGACTGTAATTGTTACGGGTATTTCTGCCTTGTATGTGTGCATCGAATATTTTTGTTTTCTTCACTTATAAAATATGTCAACATGGCTAGTGTATTTTCAGTTGTATATATGTTAGTTGCATCACGTTAGGCACAACTATGACTTTATAATTGTCTTTATTCAGAGATTATGTATAGTTTAAGGAGATGTGTACAGGTGCCAAGTTGACAAAGGGTGGACTGTCATCATTAAGGTTGTGTGTCAACTTGGCTGGGCCATGATTCTCAGTGATTTGGCAGTTATGGTGTAGTTTGTCAGTCATATGATATTGTGATCACTTCCATGATGAGATCTAATATAATGTGATCACCTCCACGATGGTGTGGCCTGCATCGAATATAAGTGGACTTGCTAGCAAGGCTCATGGGCTTTTGCTTGCTGTGGATGCTGCAGCTGGCTCCTGTTTGTCTGACCTCCAGTTCTTGGGATTTGAGCTAGCAGCTTACCTGCCATCTTGCCTGCTGATCTTGGGATTCTTCAGTCTTCATAGCCTGTGAGCCACAGCCCTGCTGTCTGACTTGTCCATTTTGGGTTCGCCAGCCCCTGCAGCTATGTGAATCAGAAGAAGCCTCCAGCCTGATACATGTTGCAGCCTCTACAACCACATAAGCCATCTTCTTAATATAAATCTCCCTATATTTGTATGCTTTACTGGTTTTGCTTCTCTAGAGAACCCAGCCTAAGACACATGGTGTCATGGTTTGAATTACATCCCCCAAAAAATGTGTGTATCAATTTGGTGGGGCCATGATTCCCTGTATTGTGTAGTTGTCCTCCATTTTGTGATTGTAATTTTATGTTCAAGAGGATTAGGGTGGCACTGTATAACACCCTTACTAAGGTCACATCTATGATCCAATGTAAAGGGAGCTTCCCTAGGGTATGTCCTGCACCACCTTTTATCTTACAGGAGATAAAAGGAAAGGGAAGCAAGCAGAGAATTGGGGACCTCATACCACCAAGAAAGCAGTGCCCGGAAGAGAGCACGTCCTTTGGGCCCGAGGTTCCTGTGCAGAGAAGCTCCCAAACCAAGGGAAGATTGATGATACAGACCTTTCTCCAGAGCTGATGGAGAAAATGTTCCCCTGGAGCTGACGCCCCGAATTTGAACTTGTAGCCTACTGGACTGTGAGAGAATAAACTTCTCTTTGTTAAAGCCATCCACTTGTGGTATTTCTGTTATAGCAGCACTAGATGACCAAAGACACATGGCATTAGCTTACCTTACCAGTTGCTGTCAAGTCAATTCCAACTCATTAACAACTCTACAGGGCAGAGCAGAACTGCCCCATAGGGTTTCCAAGGAGTGGCTGGTGGATTTGAACTACTAACCTTTTGGTTAGCAGCTGAGCTCTTATCCACTGTGCCACCAGGACTTCACTTAGCTTACATTAGCAATATTAATTCCATTTGTAACCTAAACCCTTAAATTAAAGTTGCAGGTGGAATTAAGTTTGCTAATTATCTGATCTTAAAGATTATTCTGGATTATACAGGTGGACCTGATGTAATCACACAGGTCCTTAAAAGTGGAAGAGGGAGGCAGAAGAAAGAGCGAGAGGAAGATGTTGACAATAGAAGAAAGGCCCAGACAAATGAAGGTGGAGGAAGGGGGCCATGAGCCAAGGAATGTGGGCATCCTCTAGAAGCTGGAAAAGGCAAGGAAATGGATTCTCCTCTAGAGAATCCAGAAAGGAACACAGCCCTGTTGACACCTTGATTTTAATCCAGTTAGACCCATTTCAGTCTTCCAACCTCCAAAACTGTAATATAATGAATTTGTATTGTTTTAAGTCACTAAGTTTGTAGCAGGGAAGTCCTTCGGTGGCACAAACGGTTAAGCACTCAACTACTTGCCAAAAGGTTGGTAGTTCAAACCCACCCAGAGATGCCTCAGAAGACAAGCCTGGCGATTGGCTTCCAAAAGGTCACAGTCTTGAAAACCTTATGCAGCAGTTCTATTCTGCACACATGGGGTCGCCATGAGTCAGAATCGACTTGACAGCAACCAGCAACAATAAGAAGTTTACAGTAATTTTCCACAGCAGCAATCGAAAACTACTACATATAACCAAAAAAAAAAAAACCCAAACCCATTGCCCTCGAGTTGATTCCGACTCATAGCAACCATATAGGACAGAGTAGAGCTGCCCCATAGGGTTTCCAAGGAGCAGCTGGCTGATTCAAACTGCCAACCTTTTGGTTAGCAGCTGTAGCTCTTAACTACTACGCCATCAGGGCTCCCTCCTATGTATACTAATAATGTTTTTCCTCACTTCATTATTTTGAGAATGTAAACCTGCTTCCTGGGGAAACACTGAGGTGGGGAAACCAAGGTAGGATTTGGGCAACAGTTCACCAACACACCATTATCATTGTACTATGTTATCTAACACATATGATATCAGGCATTAATAGTATTTGCATTTTATAGCGTTTTACACTTTCCCAAGAACTTCCAATACATTATTTGATTAAATCATCACAGTCTTTTTGAGGGGGTGTAAACACCTAGTTTCCCTCTGTGACAGATAAAAAACAGTCACAAAGAAGGTCTGAGCAACAAGCACCTCATCCTTATCTTTCAGGAGTGGTCCTCAGCCTTTTGTATCTTCATCCCACTAATCGTCCTTTCAAAGAACCTGGGTCCCAGAGTGCTAGAAACAAGGTCCACTTTTCTAGAGACATTTGTATTTTTACAGGCATTCTGCCACTCTCATCTAGCATTTGTGGAAAGAACTCAGATGACTATATTGCTAAGCCACCTGCACAGTGGGATTATTAGACTCTTTGATATTTAGTTTATTCAAGAGATTTGAACCCTAGGAAAAACCAGCTGCCACCACCCAAACGGGCTTACACGGTGTGAGAGCCTGTTCCGTAATTTTCAGTGGGAAATAGCTCTGCTGCTAGGAAAGCAGAAGCCTTCTGAGAAATTGTAAGGAAATCAGTCGCCACTGAAGGGAGGACTGCTTAGACCAGGATCCCTCCTTCCCAGGTCATGCAAGAAACACAGCCCCTGAAAAATTGTGGAACAGAATTTCGAATTCTCAATGGAAGCCAGACATTCTGGAGCCATTGAGGCTGGATGAACCCCCTAAACTATTGCCCTGAGATAATCTTTAAACTTTTAACCAAAACTATTCCCCAAAGTCTTCTTTGAACCAAAAAAATTGTTTATCTTAATGTCTACCTTGAGTGAGCATTGTGCTCTTTTAAAGAATTATCTATGTGAGATCAAACTGACAACAGTAAGTCGAAAGGTTAGATGAGAAGCTTAGTGGGCAGTGAGGCTAAGTCCATGGTGGTAGAACAATTTGGAGGGTGGTGAGAATGCACAATTTGAAGAATGCAATCAATGTCCGTGAGTTGTATGTGTAGAAATTGTTGAAATGGTGTATGACTGTGTGTATTTTCACCCAAAAAATTATCTCAATAAAACTTATATAGATTTTTAAAAAAAATCTATAGTATACAACACAGAAAGTGAACACTAAACTGTGAACTATTGGTTAATAATAATGTATCAATATTAGTTCATCAATTGTAGCATATGTAGCACATGAGTGTAAAATGTTAATAGGAGAGGGTACAGCAGGGAAAGGCGGTATGTGGGAACTCTTTAGTGCCTTTCTGCATAACATCATTGTGAGCCTAAAAACTGCTTTATAAAAATAAAGTCTATTTTTAAAAAAATAGCCCCTAAATTTCTCAATGAGCAACAGTTTCATTAACCCATGTCGCTGTCTGCTGGGAGACAGTACAGACATGGCAGGCAGGGCCAGGGCCATTTGGTTCAGATAAGCTGAGTTTCAATCCTGGTTCTGCCATTACTGGCTCTAGGTCTTGGGCAATTCATTTCATCTTGCCAAGCCTCAGTTTTCTCATATGCAAAATAGACACCACCTGCTTCACAGGATTGTCAAGAGAATGAAGTAAAATGATACAGGGAAAATGCTAGCAATCTGCTTCATAGAAGGTACTTAATAAACTTGATCAGCTCCGTTGTTTTCCCTTTCGTTTACAGCAACATTTGTAGTTAAGAAACACTGACTTAAATCCAAATGACCTCAGTCTGACATCCAATTCTGCCACTTCACATTCTTGGAGAAAAAGAACTAACGTGTTTTAGCACCTACTTTGTTCCAGGTACTGTGCTGGCTCTTTATGTATTTATTTTTTCTTTAATCTGAAAATATAAGGCTGAATGGAATATTATGATCCCCGTTATAAGAAAATTAAGTTCAGAGAGGTTATGCAACTTGCCAAGGTCACACAGCTGTCAGGAGGTTGCACTGGGATTTCAACCCAGAAGTGTCTGAATCTAGTTCCTTGCACAAAAACCTATCAGATCTGGGGTGCCAGGCTGCCTGGGGGAGGTGGAAGAGTAGGTGGGGGAAGGGATTAAAGGCAGTGAAGATTGGGCAAAGTGATCCATTCGTTAGGGTTCTAATTCCCATTCCCAAAGCTGTTTCCCCAGCTTTACCAAAGGTTACGGCTGGAACACACTTAGCCATAGATAGTATCCAGCCCTCCTTTTATATTGCTAGAATGATCCAAGTTCTAAAATTAGCAGTGATCTAGAAACTGTGGGACAGAGCAGCTTTAGAACTCTTACCAAGAACCACTCTTGCCTGTTCAACCTTTGCTTGGCTGCAATTTATATCTGGAGACTTTCTCTCCATTTCAACCAGCCCAGTTCAGCCTAGAGATGGAGATGGGCCCTAAAAGATGGCCAACCCTCCCAGGTCCTGAGGAGGCAGGAGCACACTCACATTCAGTGGGCTTTGATCACTCAGACCTGTTTCTGACATTTGCCAGTTACATGATCTTGGGCAAATTTAGCATCTCAGCCTGTTTCCTCATCTATAAAATGGGATAATAATAGCACCTTGAGGAATCAATGATACAATGAGCACACGTGGCTCAAAACTGTTGGCACACCTGACAAGAGTTAACAAAAAACCTGCAGTAGCAGCTTCACAAGACAAGGCCTGAGCCCTAGAGCTCTGGATAACAGATGGAGACTTACATCAACGGCATGACATACGGGCATGTTTACTCCCCAGGTGGGAGGTACCCAACAGGGAGGAAAAGAGAGAGCAGGAAGGCCTTACATTTGAGTGGTCAGATTGCCTTCCCGCCACTTCCTTCCTCCATCTCTTCTACTTGACATCGATCCTGCTCATCTGTGTGCAATAGTTAAATTAATAAGGCTCAGTTTCATTATCTTATTGACACAACTTGTATACCATCTGAAATTCTGGGACCAGGGCCCAAAGAAAATTTATTTTTCTGTTTCTGATCTCAAGTCCACTTTCATTCTCTCTCCTTTCCTTTCTTAGAGTCTATCACAGGCAAACCAGTCAAATGACTAAAAAATTATTTGGTGGGAGGGGTGGGGAAAAAAGGAACTTTTAATTTATGTATTGTCTACATTATGTTTCTAGGCTGTAAGTATCTCTAAGGGTAGGAAGGGACCCAGACTTTTCATTTCAGTTGGGAGCCCTCACAGCCTTAAGTATCTCCAGATACTCAAAATTATTAATCAGAAATTGACTTGCTTCTTTGCCTGTCTGGTGTCTTCTCAAAAGCACAAGAATTATCAGTGCCAGGAAAGCAACTGTGATTGTGGATCTTTCTATTTTGTCCACAACCAACTAGAAATAGCAAAGATCACAAATTAGCCTACATATAGGGGAATCAAGGTAAGGAAATTAAGAAAGTATATTAACATTAGTTTATCTTGGTGTTCTGGAAAACTCTTCAAGGATACCATAAGTCTGATGTTAATCATAATACAGTATTCATGAGTAGATTACTTGTGGAGTTTGAAGTAGTAATTATGGAAGTTTCAACCCCATTCACTAAAGCCCCGAGTGGGTTTTCTCAGTGTAGCTGCCTACAAACAAACACATACACAGGAGTCCAGGCTAAGACATTTGGGTTGTCAATGAGGTAGTTAAAGCACTGAGGTTTTTCCTCCCTGGATTCAAGCTCATGGATTAATATGATTTCTATCGTTTTCATTCTCCATTTACATTCACACTCTATTTGTGTCTAGATGTATATGTACTGCTAAGGAAAGACACAGGTCAAGTCACTCAGGTTTAATGATTCCATGGTTTATGTTTTTATCATGTGAACACATCACTTCTGTTGAGTCCATTCACTGTTGGCAGATACTCCAGGTCACCTAGCCTCCCATTCAGAACATTTAATCAAAGTCTTCTGCACCCCAAATGCTCACAAAACAGAGCTCTATTTTGAAATAACAGATAGTCGTCAGTCCAGTTAGTGGCAAAGCCTTGGTCTTTAAGGTCCAAAGATAGATTTAACTAGCAAGGGCAGATGGGGGATAGGGTGGGCCACTGATACTGTTTGAGTTTCCTGAGTCCCTCCTTTCCAGACTGCCTGGATAAGAAGCCTCTTTTCCTTAAGAACAGAATGAATCTACTCTTTTATTTGGTCTACAAGACACCCTGTGGGGAAGATGAGAGCTGTAGATTGAAACTTGTATTACCTCCCTGAAGGAGTGGTCAAAACACCCTGGTGACAGTCAACTATGAACACCCTGGTGGCAGGCACTTGCAGATTTAGCCAGAATGCTGGCCACGGGACAGGAAGCATCCCAGGCCAGGGTCAGCTGGACTGCCGCCACCTTCCTGAGTGGCCACAGCAATTGTTTGGAAACCTCTGCAGCAAACCTTTCTCCTCTTCCCTGTCCCTACAAAGGCAGAAACAGCCAGGAGCAAATCCCTGAGCTCCCGCCTTGTATTTGAGCAGAACTAGAGCTTACCAATCTGATTACTCTCTTTCAGAAGCTAGGATTTGTTTCTTAGTGCAAGTTCAACATTGAGAAGATAGCAATGTCATTTACTCACAAGTTCAGGCCAACCTTAAGCAGATGGGTTAAGGCTGGGGCAAGTGTGAGATGACTATTTAAACCCTATCCAGGCCCAAAACAGGCCACTCAGGAACTCTCCAAGATCAACATTGTGCTCAAGGCCCTCTCTTGGTTGGTCACAAGTGGCGTGTTTGGTCTAGATTGCTTCAGTTGCCCCTCAACCCTAACTAGACCAAGCTTCCTGGTGCCAGGACAAACTCATTATTCCTTAGCCCTTTGGACTAGTGGACAATCTGTCACCATTTCAAACTTCCTAGTTGCTTTTCAGCCTGGATTGACGTTCCCAGAGAAGTGGGGCAGCAGTGGGCCAGATGCAGACTTATGAGATGGATTAAGTGGCTGGTCATTGTGCCCTGGATGAGCATCCCACCGCATGTGTAGAAGTTAGTTCACTAATCTCCCTTGGGAGTCATATGTACTCCTAGCTCTGAGCTAGAAGCATGGTATTAAAAAAATCATATCTTAAGAGATTCTCACCACTTCCCCAACCTTTGCACCTCTCCAGCCTAACCTCTCCCCCCACACACACCCACACAGACGCATGCACATGTGCCCCCAAAAGATGCTGTCCCAACACGTTCCATATCCCCAGGGCCCAAGAATAAAGTGGCATTAATGGCATTTGGCAGAAAATCCCATCCCACATGGAAAACTCCTCCAAGCTCAGCACAGTAAGGAAGGAAATGTTAAAGTAAGCGAAGAGGCAGTGGAAGCCAGGGCCCGCCCCTTCCCACAGAAAAGAGGCACAGGAATCTCAAGACTTAGTGAACACGGCATCATCTCTTGCCCGAAGGCCACCAGCTACCGCTGGCTGGGAGCCGCATTATCACTTGTTTCTCCTCGGGACTGAAGTGCAAGATCGTCAGTATGGCCGTGAGCGTCTGCTGGCGGCCCAATGCGTCTGGCAAGGTCAGGAAGCGGTAGATGATGTTTTTGAGGTACTCCAGGTTGGCTCCCTCCCTGCTCTGGTCCCTGATGTTCTTTTCAATGTGGCTCTGCAGGGCTCCAACCTCCTCGCGGTGCCGCTCCCCCTCCTCCAGCAGCCGATCTTGCAGCTGACGCACCTCAGCCTCCAGCCTGTGCTTCTGCTTCCGCAGTGAGGTGATCTCCACCTCCTTGCGGGCCAGCTGCTCGGCGTACAGGATGAAAGTGGGCTCACTGGCCACCGCAAGGTGCAGGGCTTGGGTCAGGCTATCTGGGGATGATGTGTCAGCCGGGTCCCCAGGACCCCCAGCCCCCACTGGGCTTCTGCGTCCTGGCAGGCTAGAGGACAAGGCCACAGAGCGCAGCTGCTCCAGCTCCAGGTCCTTCTCAGCCAGCACAGCCAGGGCCCGGTCACGCTGCTTGTGCAGCTCCTCCTCCAGCTTCAGCGTGCGGTCCCTGAAGTCCAGCTGGTTGCGCTCTAGCTCCTGCCGGTGCAGCTGCTGCAGCTGGGCCAGCTCCTGCTTCCAGTCCTCAGCCTCCTGCTGGTGCTGGCGCTCGAGTTCCTCACAGGACAGCCGCAGGGAGATATACTTCTCCTTCAGCTCCGCCAGCTGCTCCTGGGCTTCCTCCAGCTCCTTCGTCACATTGCCGTCTTTGGTGCTCTTGCTCTTGAGGACAACCTGAGCCCTCATCTTGTACCTTTCAAACTCCTCTTTCAGCTGTTTCAGCTCCTGTTGATAGTAGAGCGCAGTGGCCTTCTCCCCATCAGCAGCCTCCGAGGTGAGCATTATCTCCGGGTTGCAGAGCTTCTCCACATCCAGGGCCACCTGGCTTTTCCTGGCTGCAACCTGCAACAGCCTCTTCAGCTTCTCCATCTTATCCTTCAGGACATTGACATCCAGACTGGACTCCTCGCCATGGCTGTCTAGAGGGGACCGACTGGAGGCCGCGAGGGCCAGCGTCTTGTTCTCCAGGTCCAGCTGTAGAATGCGCTCCTTCAGCTTCTGGATGGCCTGCTGGTCCTTCTGCTTGGCCTTCTCGTAGGTGCCCAACAGTTCAGACACCTCAGATATTTGGTTCTCCAGGGCCGCCACCCTCTGCTCTTCCACCTGAGATTGCTGTCGGAGTTGTTCCTCTGCAAGGGCTGTCTGCAAAACAAGGCGACAGACAGAAATGCAGCCAGGAAAGCCACAACGCCCGAGAGCAAACTTTGAGAAAGCGAGGGGGGACCAAAAGGGTCACAGGATTGGGACGGCCTAGCAAGAATGGAAACTGGGGAGTTTTCTGTGGATTTAGGTGCTAACAACATTTCCTGTAACCTGCTTGGGTTCTGCTCCCCGACACATATTATACCAAACCTTAGTATATTTCCTATCGTTCTGCTTCAGTGCTTCTGTTTTCTCCTAACATACACCTAGCTCACACATAAAGTGTTACATTTGTTTATTATACACCTCCCTAAATCCTATTAGGAAATCATATGGCATTTTTTTTCTCTTCCAATATTCCTGGAAATTCAAAATCGAATTAGATTTCTCTCCACATTGAAAGGATACACTGAAATAGCACACCTTTCCAGAATGGGCAAATCTGGACTGAAATCAATTATAAGAGGTTGTTTCTTCTGAGAAAACTTCCTTTGCCCCCTTCAGCCCCCTACAAACACCACCCCACATATTACTCTTAACTGTGCAGCTGCCACTTTACTGCTTCACAGAGCCTAGCTGTTAATATGTCAAAGCCCAGAAACCCAGAGTTGTCTGGTTCCTACCCAGCCTACACTCAGAAACTCCACATCCTGTTGGACGCACACTCTGTAGAGACTGTCAACACCATGCAGAACAGTATTTCCCAGGGCTCACTAGTGGAACTTTTCCAGTAGCACCAAAAATGCCAGTGCAGCCACTTAGTGCTAACTCCCAAAGAAGAAAAAGCCTTAATGTTTCCCACTTCAGGTTAAATGACTAACGTCTGAAATAACCGAGGATAATTACCTTCCTTATTTCCTGCTGCAACTGAGCCTGGAAATGACTCTTGAGGCGGGCGGCCTCTTCCTGAAGGTCCTGCAGCCGGGGGTCGGGCTGATTCTTCTCATTTCGAAGAGCCTGCAGCTCACCCTTCAGCTCCTCCACCTCCCGGGTTAGCTGCTTAGCCTGCAGTTCAAACCCTTCCATCTGACCGGCGGCATATGCCTGCCCTGCCAGGGCTTCTCTGGTCTCTTCCAGCCGGAGCTCCAGGTCCTGGCGCTGAGTCCTCTCCTCCTGCAGCAGCTTCTGGAGCTCACGCAGCATCAAGGCATGGTCACTCTGCTCTTGGGCACGATCATGCTGCTGCGTGATAAGCCGAGCTTTGGTTTCCGCTATCTGCTCCTGCAGTCCCTTCAATTCCCCCTCCAGACGGCCCCTCTCCTCCTCTGCCTTCTTAATGGCATCCTCTAAGTCCTGTTTCATCTTCTTCTTGTCAGCCAAGTAAGAAGCCTCCATGCGGGACTTCTCCTGGGTGACCGTAGCCAAAGAGCTGGTCAAAGTAGCCAACTGAGTCTTCAGCTGGTGGAGCCGTTTGTCCGCCTCCCCGCCCGCCGACGGCCCGTCCCCACTACTGCTGCTAACGCCACTCTCCGACCCGCTAGCTTCTTCGGACTTCGGAGGTAGTGTTTCACGGGCTGGTCTGTCATCTTCCACCCCAAACTCACCCTTGGTGCTGGTGAGACTGGCCGTTGTATCCAAGCTGGTGGCGGTCCCTGTGCTATCGCCGCTATGAGTGGAGCATCGGTCATCAATGGAGTCAGGAAAGTTGAGGCCTGGTGGCTGGACACCTGAGAGGCCCACATCCGCCTCGTGGGACACCGACAGCACCTTGATGCTGGCCTCCAGCGCCTCCTTCTCCTTCAGTAGGCTTTTATAGGCGCGAACCACATCCTTGAGCCGTGCCTGGTACTGCAGGAGCTGCTGTTTCTGCGTCTCTATGGTCTCCAGCAGGTCCTTCTTGCTCGGGCCGCCCCCGAAATTCATCCCAAACTTCTCCATAGGGGTGCGGTACTGGCTGCTCCACGTCAGCGTTCGGGCAGCCCGGGGAGGGCCGCGAAGACGTGGCTAAGGCTGCAAGCGACGGAGAGAGGGTTGTCGGGCCACACACCTGCTTCTCCCAGCAGTCCCGGACACGATGCGGGGCGGTGGGACGGCCTGGCAGGAGAGCCCGCCCGGTCCCGGGCCCAGAGGACGGGGTGGGTCCTATCTCCGAAGCAGAGCGACGACAGCACCAGAGGAGCGCACTACTAGAGCTCGCCCGCCCAGGCCCACAAGCCGCTACGCGCCGGATCACCCGGCCTCCCGCAGCCCGGGCCACCCCCGCGGCCGCGATTGGCCAAGGTTTACACAGCACGCAGCTCCATCACGACTTCCTAACTACAGATGCCGTCCAAAACGTCGCTTCCCGGTCCGCGGGAAGTGACGACAGCACGCCGCTTCAGGCTCCGCCCTCAGTGGCTGCGAGGTGGGCGTGGCCACCGCAGCCGGTAGGTGGGAGGACCGTGGTGAGAAGTCAGAGGGACAGCGATCAGAGGACCCGGCTTGGGAAGAACAAAGAAAGCAGAGAAGAGGGTTCGGGAGTAATGTTGGTTTGTTTGGTGAGGTCAGGGCGCCTAAGCTTGTCCTCGGGCTACGATCAGCGAGCTACAGGGGGCGACGTCGCACTGCGTTCTTACCAAACACAAAGATGGGCGACGCGCCCCCACTCTTTGGGAACCAGCACCTATGTCCCTAAAATGCAACAATTAGACTCAGTTAGACCACGATGACTGCAACCCTTTCTAACACAGTGCTTGGTACCTAGTAGGCATATAGCATAATAATTGCTAGCACCCTTCCTAAGTTCTAAGTTGATTCAGCAAATATAGAGGGCACTCTGTAGCCATGATTTCCATCCTGAGTGCCCACTCTATGCCAGAAGCCTCACAAAATTTTTGTTATTTAGTCTGTACAGTAATTCAGCTTAGGGAGTATTATTAGCATTATTTTACAGATAATGGGAGCATGAAGCACAGAGAGGTTAAGTAGCACACCCAAGGCCACACAGCTAGTAAGTTTAGGAATCTGTCAAGATCAGCCTGATTACTCTCAACATCACAAGTGCTGTGCCAAGTGATAACACCGTGAAGAGCCGTGGCCCTTCCCTCAAGAAGCTCACAATCTAGTGAGGAACCAGACGTGCAAATACAGGTCCTGCTATCATACCAGTATGTATAAACCCATTGCTGTCGAGTCGATTCTGACACATAGCGACTGTATAGGACAGACTAGAACTGTCCCATAGTTCCAAGGCTGTAATCTCTATGGAAGCAGACTGCCACATCTCTCTGGCCAAGCTGCCGGGTGGATTCGAACCCCCATCTTTTGGTTAGCAGCCGAGTGCTTAACCACTGTGCCACCAGGGCTCCTCTCCACTATGTGTATATTCAAAGTGGTATGGAAGTTAAGAGGAGGAAGGCCTCTCTAGAGGAGGCAGAGAAGGTTCTCAGGGAAAATACGTGGGGATCTGAAGAATGAGTAGTGATTTCCCAACTAACTAGAGATGAGGGAAACCAGCATTCCAGGCAGAGGGAAAAGTTTGCGAAGACTCCTGGGGCATCAAAGAGCCTGGCTCACCCAGGAAACATTAGGAATCATGTCAAGGTAGTAGCTTGTGAAAGAGGTGGCACAGATGAGGCTGGCACAATAGGTGGTTGTTAGTTGCCATTGAGTCGAGTCCATCTCATAGAGACCCCATGTGACAGAGTAGGACTGCCCCCATAGGGTTTTCTACGTCCACCCTTTATCTGCTTGCACCTGTACACATCTCCTTAAACCATACATAATCTCTAAATAAAGACAGTTATAAAGTCTTACTTGCATCTAACATGATACAACTAACATGCACACAACCGAAAACACACTAGCCCCGTTTACATCTTATATTTTATAATAAGTAATGGAATCAGGGAGGGAAGAAAACAAAGATATTTTATATATATATATATATGTATGTATGTATGTATACACATATAACAAAACAAGGAAGAAATACTCAAAACAATTACAGTCTTTGTTTCTGCAACTGGTCACATGGTCGTAGCTGGTATTTAGAACTACCTTCTTCCCTTTGCCCTCAGCAAGCACCTCAGCATGCCTTCTATTACTGAACGCACATACTATAAAAAAAAAAAATTTAAGGAAACAATAACTGGTTTTTGAAAGGATTTAACCACTGCACCACCAGGGCTTCTTCAAATGTTTATGTGAGCAGATTGCCAGGTCTTTCTCCCATGAAGCTTCTGAGTGGGTTCAAACTGCCAACCTTTTAGTTAGCAGCCAAGTGCTTAACTGTTGTACCACCAGGGCTCTTTGGCGTAATAGGTGGGTACCCAAATAAAGGCATTTAGATTTTATCTTGGGTAACAGGAAGTTACTAGAGGATTTTAATCTCAAGAGTAGCATCATCAAGACTTGTATAATCGGGTGGAGATACTAAAGGGTAGAGGATCTGTAAGGAGGCTTCTTCAGTTATGGGGAAGAGATGGTAGTGAAAGCAGGCAAGGATAACATGGATGAAGAGAAAGGCTGATAAAAGAGCTAAAGATGTAGAATTGACCTGATTTGGTGATCACTAGTTGTGTTATTATACTGGGACTCTTTTAAATGTACTTTTTGACCTTTGGTGCCTTCTTGAGAATGGAAGTCTATCACTGAAGAGCAAAAGAATGCCACGCACTCACTCATAGCTGGTTCCCATTCTGTACTCATTCTAGACTTCCTGGGTCAGGATGGGGCATGCCCTAGATGTCTCTTCAGACCCAGTTTGTTAGTGGCCCAGATAACATCCAGCTGCATAATACAAAACATTCAGATACATTATCTCATCATTTTAATCTATAGCCACTTGAGATAGGTAGGGCAGATATTAATCTCCCGGTTGATAGTTCGAACCTGTAAAAATCATGGCATGGCAGCAGCGTCTGACCTCCCCATCTAACTTCACAGGGGGGAAGGAGAATCAAGATCAGCAGCCCAAGGCTGATTGCTATGAGGCGGGGGTCAGATGTACCTCCTCTCTCCACCATCTTTACCAATTCTAACACTATCCATCCCTCGGACAGCACTCAACTTCTCTGCTGGGTTTGATAATTTGTTGCAATGGCTACACAGAACTCATAGACCATACTCACAGTTATGGGGTTTATTAGGGAAATAACAGGTTACAATTCAGGTTCAGGAAAGCTCAGGATACAGTTCTTCAATCAGGACAGCCTCTTCTCAGCCATGCCTGTAGGGAGTCCTGTCTCTGGCCCTCGGCCCCTTGGCCTGGCCTCTGCCCTGCTTGGGCAAGTGTTACAAAGCCCTTTTAGCTCTGCCAGTAAGTGCCCAGAGGCATCCCACTCTGCCAGCAAGCTCGGCCCAAAGGCGCTCAGTTCTAGCTCCGTGGGTCAGCAAACCTAGCTCTACCAAGTGCCAGAGGTACCCTACTCTGCCAGCAAGGCTTCTGCCCGCAGGCGCTCAGCTGTCAACATCTTCAGTGTTACAGCTGTCTCTCTCTCTCTCTCTCTCTCTCTCTCTCTCTCTGTCTCTCTCTCTCTCTCTCTGTCGGTCTCTTGGTTCCAGGAGCTTCTCAGTACCGGGATCCAAGATCCTAAGGACACACTCCACTAGCTCTTCTTTCTTGGTGGTGGTCAGATCCTCTCCTCCCACCTCTGGGATGGTTCATTTGAAGCCTAGCAGAATGGCAAAACTGACCAATCCCTTCTTTAGGATTCCATAGACTTTATTTGCATGGTCCCACCCCCACACAAGTGCCATGAACTTTATTTGCATTATTAACAAGCTATCTGCCTTAGTCATCTAGTACTGCTGTAATAGGAATACCACAAGTGGATGGCTTTAACAAACAGAAATTTATTCTCTCACAGTCTAGGAGGCTAGAAGTCCGAATTCAGGGCACCAGCTCCAGGGGAAGGTTTTCTCTCTCTGTCAGTTCTAGGGGAAGGTCCTTGTCATCAGTCTTCCCCTGGCCTAGGGCTTCTCAGCACAGGGACCCCGGGTCCAGAGGACATTCTCCACTCCTGGCTCTTCTTTGGTAGTAGTGAGGTCTCTCTCCTCTCTGCTTGCTTCTCTTTTATATCTTAAAAGAGATTGACTCAAGATACAACCTAATCCTGTAGATTGAGTCCTGCCTCATTAACATAACTGCCTCTAATTCTGCCTCATTAACATCATAGAGGTAGGATTTATGACACAGGAAAATCACATCAGATGACAAAATGGTGGACAGTAACACAATACTGGGAATCATGGCCTAGCCAAGTTGACACACATTTTGAGGGGACACAATTCAATCTATAACACTATCCACAGTTACCCCTTGGTGGGCCACAATTACCTTATTTGTATAGTCCCACGCAACCAGTTGGGTGGGAGTTACAGGATGATGAGAAAGGCCATATAAAAGTGATCTATTGCACCACAGAACCCACCCAGCAGTACCTCTGAAGATAGACCTGGTGATCTGCTTCTGTTAAGATTATAGCCAAGAGAATGAAGAAAACCAAAGAAGGGAAAGATTAGTCCAAAGGACTAATGGACCACAACTACCACAGCCACCACCAGACTGAGTCCAGCACAACTAGATGGTGCCCAGCTACCATCACCAACTGTTTTGACAGGGATCACAATAGAGGGTCCCAGACAGAGCTGGATAAAAATGTAGAACAAAATTCTAACTCACAAAAAAAGACCAGACTTACTGGTCTGACAGAGACTGGAGAAATACCGAGAGTATAGGCCCCCAGACACCCTTTTAACTCAGTACTGAGGTTCACCTTTCAGCCAAAGATTAGACAGGCCTATAAAACGAACAGTAACACATGTAGTTCAACGATGTTTATGAGACTGAATGGGCACGCCAGCCCAGGGGCAAGGATGAGAAGGCAGGAGGGAACAGGAAAGCTGGATGAATGGAAATGGGGAAGCCAAGGTCAAGGGAAGAGTGTTGACACGTCGTGGGGTTGGCAACCAATGTTGGCAACAAAACGATATGTGTATTAGTTGTTTAATGAGAAACTAATTTGCTCTGTAAACTTTCACCTAAAGGACAATTAAAAAAAAAAAGATTATAGCCAAGAAAACCCTATGGGGCAATTCTACTCTGTAGCACATGGGGTTGCCGTAATAGGAATCGACTTGACAGCAACTAACAACAACTTGGTGAGAAATGGCAGAAGGGTTGTAAGGATTATTCAAGATACGCCCTCAAAAAAATGGCAGAACTGAGACCAGATTTACTGGCCTGACAGAGACTGGAGAAACCCTGAGAGTATGGCCCCCAGACACCCTTTTAGCTCAGTGGTGAAGTCACTTCCGAGAATCACCGTTCAGCCGGGGATTGGACAGCCCCGTAAAACAAAACGGGACTAATGAGGCACAGCAGTCCAGGGACAAGGACTAGAAGGCAGAAAGGGACAGGAAAGCTGGCAATAGGGAACCCAGGGTTGAGTAAGGACAGTGTTGACATGTAGTGGGGTTGTTAACCATTGTCATAGGGAAACGTATACTAACTGTTTAATGAGAAACTATTTTGTTCTGTAAACCTTCATCTAAACTGAGAATAGCAGCACAACTGGAAGAACGTAATCGATGTCACTGAACTGTGCATGTAGAAATTTTTAAAATGGTATCTCTTTGGCTATGTATATTTTCAACAACAACAAAAAAAACAAAGGTCAAAAAGGGAGAGGGTTGATACGTTGTGGGGTTGTTAACCAATGTCATAAAACAATACGTGTACTGACTGTTTAATGAGAAACTATTTGTTCTGTAAACCTTCACCTGAAGTACAATAAAAAAATTTTTTAAAATGGCAGAACTGAGATTTAAACTGAGGCCTGGAATAGTGCCGTCGAGTCGATATCGGCTCATAGTAGGCAGTCAATAAATGTTTGTTGAATGAATAATGGTTCTCTGATTCCCACCCCACCTCACCATGTCCAGTCCATAAGTAATTGATCCTAGAAGTCCACTGGGAAGCCAGAATACACGTAACTCCTGCCCTTGCTCTGCTGGGTTCCAGACCAGTCCGGTTCAACCCAAGAAGCATCTGTTAAACATAGATTAGGTGACCAACACGGATCCAGTCTCCCCCTTAGAAAAAAAAAAAATTAAGCTAGTTCTTGCCTTGTTATGCCCCTGAGATGCTAAGACGAAGGGTCGGAATTACTTGTGAAGTTCTTTGGGTCTAGGGAGGCAAGATCCTCCCAAAATCCAGGGAAGGCATGCAGTTTCCCACGTCTCTGGCAAAGTGAGGAAGGAAATTCAGAAAGGCTACTGAAGGCCAGCTTTCCCAGGCGCTGGAGGCGAAGGTGGAATTGTCGTCTGGGCTGGGAATCTTCCACCGGGGCTGCCAATGGAGGAGCTGTGAAGCAGGCGTTTTAAGGAACCAACTCGCTATCTCTTGGGCAACTTCTTTCCTCACCTCCGCCACATTCCTCAAGCGAGTCTACAGTCACGAACCACCTACTACGTGCAAAGCCCCTTACTGGGAGTTGAGAGGGCAAAAGGAGGAACAGGGAGTTACTGCTTCCCTAAGGAGGGTGGTGCACACAGTCAGTGCTGCTGGTTGCCAAGGGCTAAACCAGAGTCAAGAATGGGATGCAGGACGCAATGCACCCAAGTCCCGGCGGCCGGCCGCTGCGGAGCAAGACAGCTTCTCTCTGCCTGCTCGGGCTGCAAGCTCTACAACCACAGTCCTGATCGGCACACTGGGAACAGGGGAGGCCCACAGCCTTTCCTTCTTCCAAGCTAGCACCGGACACACGACTCCAGCAGCCTCAGTTTCTC